AACATATTAGATTCTCTCAGAAATTCTGGCAAATCTTGATTGAGCACAACATTACAAGTTGTACAGTAAGAGGTCAGTTTGTCTTTTGCTGTTAGAAATAGAGACTGTACTGAGATTGTGCTCAAAGTCTATACCAAAATGTAGCTCCATCTTTAGTTTAGATGTTTAGAGTATGGATCTTATTATATATACAGGTAGTGTCATGTAAGAATTAGACATCTTTGAAAACAAAGACTGTAGAATCTGGTGACTGATTAACTTGCTGAAGCTAAGTAGTATACTGGCTGAGCTGAACAGAAAGGAATGAAGACAGGTTTTGTCATGCCTGTTAGGACAAAATAACTTTTGTTTAACATAAATGTGACTTTTGTATTCCCCTTTTAACTGGATTTAAAACAAAAAGAAATATCCTGTGGTACTTTCTATTCCTAAGGGAGGTTGTTCTAATGTGAATTTTAGATGTAATAATTAGGAAACTTTCTAATTACAAGGTAAGTGAAATATTAGTACCTACTGGGCAATGTTTCAATGTGTAATTGCTCACAATATTATATGCAATCTTTTCAATAAAGAAAGTATGAGCTTGGTGTCTGCAAAAATCTAAGTTGATAAAGTTATTTTAACAGTCCCAAAGAACTCTGACTATTGATTTAGCAGGGAATTGCAGACTTAACAGGTTTTTAAATATACTAGGCAAAGCTAGCTAAACTATTTTGAAATAGAAAATGTGTCCTCATCAAGTTAAAAGCTACTATTATTCAAAGTAGCTTGATTGTTGAGTTTAGCAGCTTAACCCTATGCATGTTGATATAGAAACTACTCCTACTGAATACAGCAGGCACTCCTTCCAAATACAAATGGATAAGATTGCAACCTTATATGCTAATCCAACTAGTTAGTTATCTTATTCAATCTGAACCACATTTATTTTGGGAAAAAGCCAAAGTGAATTCAGTAAGACCTGCTTCTCAGTCTTAATGATTCATAACAGTGCTGCACTTAAATTAAAAATTGCAAATAACTCCATGGATTTTAATTGGACATACTCATGAGTAATTTTAGCTGGATTTCACTTTACAGATGTAATGGCATTTTAGTGCTAAAATAAACAAAAGAAAACCTACTGGTTTGGGGCTATATTCAGTGTTAGAGAAGTTAGTTTCCACTTGTGAAACAAAATTTATCTTCATTCTTAATCTCCCCCACTCCCCAACTGTGTGTGCCCCAACTCTGCTCTGGAATGATTTCCAGCTCTCAAGAGCTGATTTGGGAATACATAATACTGGATAAGGATTAAGAATCTGTTCAGTTGGGAAAATAGTATCACCCACATAATGTCCTTTAGCAGTGGAATGGAAGAACGCATTCATGTGTTCCAAAAATGTATGATCCTGAATTCTTGTCAGCTCATGTTCTTCTGCCTATAAAAAAAGGCAACAAAACCAAGCATCCTGAACCAATATAATATTTCTCTTACATTGGTCCACATTGGCTAAATGCAAGTAATTCATCATGAATTGGTAAAGTATTTCTTTTCTGTTCCTCAATGCTTTTAATTTGTACTATAACTCTTATCTGCAATTCACAGGGCAATCCTGTACATATTGACTCAGAAATAAATCCCATGCAATTCAAGTAAGCTTACTCACAAGTGACTATAGGATTTTTCCGCCTGGCTGCAATCCTTTTGTATATTTATGTGGAAGGAAGGAATGGTGAGTGCCTCTGGATGAAATGTCTGTCAAAGCCAATGCTCATTGCAGCCAGACCAGGAGGAAGAGGGCATCCTGTTCTTTTGACTTTTTCCTAACCTCCCCTCACTACAGTAGGAAATAAAGTCAAGTCAGAACATTTGGTATAACTGCAGGCCAACATTTGGGGGATCTAAGGAAAAAGAGCAAGCTCAGGATTTCTGAAGAAGCTCCAGTGCCAATACATCATTGGATGCTTATATCAGCTGTACAAATGTTTGCAGTCAGATTTCCTTGTCAAATAAGCAGGACTTTCAATTCATCCTGTAGCCCTCTCAGTCAGCCCTGGGGTCAGCTTACAATTGCTCCCTTAGTCTTTTATGATATAGAATTACAATTAAGTAGTGCAGTTTTAGATGCAATACTACTTAGTTATAATGATTATTTAAGACAATCTGTTTGATAAAGCAAAAAAACAACAACACCTTGGTAGATTTTGGATGATAATAAAGGGTAGCAAATTATTAATCATTGAATTTATTATATATTTTACACCCATGTTTTAAACATGATTTTATGTATGCAGTATGTTCTTCTTTACAGGCTGTTTTGCAAATTGTAAATTTTAAAAATTGACACTGCATATGATAGGACAATACATAAAACAAATAAATAGTTGGGATTTTCTGCCTCATCTATCAAAATGGCATCTCAATATTTCTTCCAACTGTGTATCTAGTAGTGAAATTTTAAACAGTAAAAGCAGCATTAACCAACCACTGGAAAGTTAATTCTAAATTCTGGACAGCATGGAAAACTGTACTGCATCATATGGTAGAAGTGTTGTAGTTCAAAGAAGCAAAGTCAGATGTCCATCTGGAAAGATACACAATTTTGGATTTGCCCAGAAGAGATATTTTCATATGGGCTTATATTAGTATACAGTATTTTTCACAGCAGTGACTGAAATATTCTGATGTGGAATTCTGCTGTATTAAAAGGATATGAGAACATGGTAAAAGACTCTAGATTCTAAAAGTTAGAACTATGAAAATGTAGGAGTATGATTTTTTTTTTTTACACTTTCATGTTAACAGTAGAGTTCATGTTCAAAAAAACCATGGCTAATAATTTCCTTAAGTCTTTTCACAAAAAATATATATACTGTATAAACATTTCAGTGATCATCCACATTCTGTTTTTCCATTCTGATTTCCTAAAGGTTTTCTACAATAATCCATGGGTTATCAGAATAGTTTGCACTAAAATAGTTTTCAAATTATTTGAAATTTCTGGCATTTCTTATAAGTCTATTTGCATTCCTCAGTGAGAATACAGTAATGACAAGGTATTTCCTGAAACAGAATGTCCAATCATTGCCAACTAAATTGCTTGTTCTGGAGTAACTAGTGTTCCTAGTAACACTAGGAAAATTATAATTGTTTTAAATTATTAACAGTTCAAAAATTACATTCACTAGTAAACCAATAGTTTATATGATGAGTAGATTCATGTGCACTATGGACATAATACATCTGAGCCTACTTCATCACATAAATCTGAACTGGGTTACAGGAAACTGTTTTTATATCAGGGCACACCTGATCTGTCTAATCTAGTCCTGGCTACTCTAATTGGCAGTGGCAATGCAGCCCCCTGGAGAAACCTCTCACGTCACCTGCTCTTTTCTTTTTAACTGGTAACGTCAGAGTTTAACTGGGGCCTTCTCCACGAAGGAAGGATGGACCCTGTCCCTTAACTGTGGCTTCCTTACTAGTTAAAACAAACTGGACAAAAAATACACTAATATTTCTTGAATGCCTTACAGCCTTCTTTGTGACACAAAACAAACAGTAGTTGACAGGAAGATAATGCAAAACAATTGTCTGAAAGGAATCCAAGGAATGTAATGTTTTCCTGAAATATGTATATACAGCAATATTTTACACAAAAGGGTTTATCATGAGTCTAAGTGACTAATATGTTTACTGGATTGCATCTATTTTTAAAGAATCTAAACAGAAGTAGCCCTAAGGAGCATTCCTGAAGCATAACCTGATTCAAATGGCAAGTACATAATACTTACAGGTATAAAAATAATTTCTGCTAATATTGCTCAGCAAACCTGGGTTAACAACTGTAAAGTGCACAATTACAGGGATTGTCAAAACTAATTTGTAGAGAAAGCTCTCATACATGTAGAACATTTTATACAAAAAATACATGTTGCAGCTGATCATCTGGAGCGTAAAGGTTTCAACCCAAGCTTCTTGGGTTCAGCTGTCATGGAAACAGACTGCACAGAGAAGCAGTTGCAGAAGGCAACTTTATAAGAATGACAGTTTACCACTTCGAATTTACATTTGCAGGAAGAAAAACTTAAGAATGGAACTTGAATTACAAACTCAACATATTTATAAGTATAATGTATGTTTTGTATGTCATCTCTTAAGCTTATTTCCCAGCGGGAGATGTCTCTCCTTTTTAAACACACAAATGATTCCCTTCCAAGAGAACAGCGCATTACAAAGAACAGAACTGAATGAACAATCTTGCAACTTAGTGTTTGTGTATCTACCTGATACACTGTTAACTGAAAACTTTCCCTTGGAAATAATTTGTGTTTATAACTATCTCTTGTACAAAATTATTCACACAGCCCATTAATACAGCTTATTCAGCCAATGAAACTCAGGTAATATCAATTTAGTAATATAATTATATGAAAATTATTTAATATTCAATATTATTTTAACATTACTTCAGATCCTAATTTTTTTTTAGTATGATTTCAAGGGAAGACTGATATGATGACATGTTATTAAGTCTAGAGTAGATTTTAGTCCTAATGTATTTATAAACCTTATTTTCGTCAGGAAGTATTTAGAGATCTATTTTTATTCAGTTATGGCAATAAATAAATGATGAGTATACTACTTATACAGCATCTGGAAATCATAATCTGTTAGATTTTTTAAAATCCCCACTAAATAGGTCTTCTTGCATAGTAACAAAGAACGTATTAGAATAAAAGCAATTTGTAAACAAGTAGCATGGTCTAAGTCAGGTATTCCACTGCCACCATCAATGTGTTCAGCACTTAAAAATGTCTTTGAGTTCATGTAGATACAAGCACAACAGTGCTAATTCTTTTCTCACAGTTTTATTGTCTAGATGTGGATTTTATTCCTCCTAAACAAATGACATACAGTGTAGTAAATTTCAGTTATCTACTTTGAATCCATTGAGAAATATCCTTTTCATGAGAGTTCAGCACAG